AGCAGTGACCCATTCAGAGTCTTTTTTTATTTAAAAAGAACAGATGACTGAGCATGCAAAAGGCCAGTAGGCTGAAAAAAAACTTTGTTTTCTGCTACTTAGATGTTTTGGAAGCCTTTTTTTCCCACTCTGCTTTTCCTGCATCCCAACCTGCTAAGTTTCAGCTCTATTTTCTTTCAGGAAAACAAACAAACAAAAACCAAAACCCACCAACCAAAAAAACTTCAGYTGAAAGCTGCTCACGTGCCTGTGCAGATCTTACAAGGTCGTGTGCTTATCTGGGGGGATCTCAACTCAGAGTTGTCACTGAATTGTCCCTTCGTCTGTTTACTTTTAAATATAGTGTATGCAAATACTTACAACTCTGCCATGTGATGATACAATTAAATTAGCCAATTAATACTTCAGTGTACGGAGATTAAGGCTCTCCAAAATTTTGGGTATAACTTTGAAATTTGTTTGGAAATTAGCTCCCAAAAATTGTATTTCAGAAAGTGTGGCTATAGATTGTTTTGTTTTTTAAGTCTACACATAGAAATGCTTTCTGAGAGTTTGCTGTTGAGAAAGGAGGAAAAAGGGGAATCCTAAATTGCAAATATGTTTGACTTCCTGGCATACGATGTAAAGCAGATAGCATTGCAAAAGTTTACTCCAAATTTTTTTTATCAAGTTGTGTGATGTGATGCTAAAGTATACTCTTCAGTATTTCTATCTACATGAACTCTACCATTTCATCAGTTTAATAATAGCTTTTTTTTTTGAGCTTGAATCTATAACAAGTCTTTCCTACCACTTGAAACACAAAGCAGATTCTGCAATCGCTGCTTATGTTGAATTCATGAGTTCATACTCATTATGTTGAATGAGTAATTATTCAAATAGGTCTGTGCTGGATATTCCTGTAAATAACTGTTTGTGTTTGGGCGACTTAGGCTGTAGTTTCATGGTAAAGCAATTCCGGCTTCAGCAGGAGAGGGGAGAAAAACACACATGCACAGGGCAAGGAGTTCTGCTTTTCTTCTTCCTTCTGCCCTCGTTCTGCTTTTCACCCAGAACTGCAGTCTTCATGCTGCCTATTTAACCACTGTGGCAATTTGCAGGGACACGTTATCAACTTGGTCAGTCAATCCATGAGAAGTGATTAAAACAGATTTTCMAAAAAAGAATTATTCTGGAAAAATTGCAGATTGGAATCAGAATTACAAGTTACCACTTCTATGTGCTCAAAASTGGGAATTTCTTTTTAAGTGAAGTACTAAATAGTACATTTTAATTGATGTGTCAGAAAGTAAGATATCTTTTTTCTATATTAAATTGATGGTGTGGGAATTACTACCAGGTCGCATTGATTGAGACCCACATCTGAAGAGTAACAGTTGTGCAGATCATGTGGAAGAAGCCAGAGATCCAGGTCAGAAGCAGAAGGTGCCTGTCGCAGAGGTGACACYGATCGCTGCCTGGTGGGCGTCCCGTGGCCTTAGCAGTACGTAGGGCTTGGCATGGGAGCATCCGAGACTCTGGGCAAACATTGCCATTAAGGAGGGACTGAAGCTTGGAAAACAGAGCAGCAACTTGTTTTTTTCTGGTTTGTTAGTCATTGTGGTATTATGAATCCTAAAAATACATATTTTCTGTTGTCCCTTGTGTGACTCTTGTGATGTTTTCAGAAAACCTCTGTTTTTCTGAATGAATTATTTGCATGATGCAAAGAATTGTGCCAGAGTGACAGTGAAATATTGCATTTAGACCAGAGAAGCAGTAGCCATATTGGAAAAGACTTTCATCTATTTATTAAATTGTTTGAATGTTATATGTGCTCACCAACAAGCTAATGAGTCATTATTTTAATAAGCAAACATAATTCAAGGCTTGCGAGTGGGAACCAGGAGATATACAGGTAGTGTTGCAATTGCTGAAGTTACTTAATGATGATTAATTTAATAAATTAACCYTATTTAAGTCAGTTTCCTTGGTGAGGAATAGGAAGATTGATATGTTATTTTTTATAAGGATCTTTGGGAGTTRCAAGTAAAAACTTAGTTTGTACATCTTGCCAATATTGACTAAACAAATCTAAGAACTATCTTGGCACTATTTTGTTTTGAAGAAAATATGTTGTGATCTTTGYGGCTGTGCTGTTGAATATTTGTGTAACATGAAGGCTGATCTGTGCATGTCGATGCAGACTTTTGTCACTTCAGGTAACCTTTGGCTTCTTTCTTGTCTTTTGTCTTATTTGGCTGTTTTCTTACAAGATGAATATTTCGGTCACAGTTATGAATCTTTAGCATCTCAACAAATAAGACCATGTATCTCAGCATGGACCTACAATTCCCAGGGAAACAGGGCAATGACTGAGGTATTGTGAAAAGTTTAGGGTGGCTCCGTGGAACTCCCATAGCTGTTTAGCACGGGATGAGTAATCCGTCGTATAAAAGGCTTTGTGTGCGCTCAAGAGTGGCTTGGGAATAATGTGATATTTAGGAAGTATCTCAGAAGTGCTAGAAACAGTACTGAATAAAAAGAATTAGTACATAGGTTCTCAAAGAGGCAAGTTTGATTGCTAGTAGTTCTTCCCAAGGAACTGTAGGMGGTTTGGAAAGGAAACTTTCTGAGTAATAGCTGAGGGTTCAGTTTTCCCGACTTCTCTTTATGGAAATAGAAAGGTGATTTGTCCTGTCTTAAGCTGGTCTGAAAATTAATACTGACTTTTAATTCTTTGTAATGTTATCCAATTACCTGTAAGATTGCCAGTTCATTTTTAGGATAATAAAACTGAATTTGATAGTGCAAGTAATTAATGAATGCACTCRGAATAATTATTAATTAAGAAAGAGCTGTCGTCTTCCCTGGAGTGCAGTGTGATAAATCACCATCAAAATACGTGTGTGTGTGTCTGTATATATGTATGTGCATTAGGTATAAGTGGGGGATGAAAAAAAGATTGTTCATAATAATCATAATTTCCAATTTCATTATAATCTTTTACATATGACTTCTAAATTTTTTTTTTGTACTTGGAATGTACTGTACATTCCAAGTAATGCACAGATCAGTTGTTTAGCATGCACACTGATGTAGCTACCTTGAAAAGACGGGATGTTTCTAGGAGTGAGCACACAAATCCAGCTGTGTGAAATGGCAGGAATATGGGATGTGAGAGATTAATTGGTTCCAGCAGTGACTGAAACTCAGGGGCAGGTTTAGACTGGAAGATGAGGGGTGTCATTTCTGTCCCAAGAAATAATTRAAGTGGTTGGGCCTAAAGCAAAAGGGCAGGAATGAAAACACCAATTGTGTCTGTATTTGGCTTTATTTAAACCCTACTTTTGTAAGGTAATGTTGTGTGGAGGCCTGGGGCTTTTAAACCTTTTCTGTATGGCAGTGTCCAATGTCTTGTTTGGTCCATGTTGTTTTGTCCGAGCTGTGTTGATCAGAGACAGGTGTACGTGCATTTCCCAAGAGAATTTTGAAATCACTCCAAGCAGTAAGTAGGAGCATAAGTCAAACCATCAATCAGCAGCATAAATCCCTTGTGAGAACTGAAAAAGTGACTTTTTGTAGRTCAGAGGGAAGTGACAGAGCCCTGCGCTTGGCACTGTGCCCTCCTTGGCGCAGCCGGGGGGATCCCACGGAGCCGCGCGCTGTGCGGGAGCTATCTCGGTACGCGCCCCTATCCCGGCGCGTCCCGCRCAGAGCTGGGGGAGGCAGAGGTGGCCAGGAGCAGCTTTGTGTTCTCCGCAGCTTCCGGGCACCTCTGCTTGCTGCKTCTGTGCAGCTGCCCCGCTGATGGTGTTGCCCGGTGCCACGTTGGTTTGGGTTGGATCCGATCAGATGCAGGCCGCAGAAATGCCTGCAGCASCACGACACGGGTGCTGCCGAACATGAGGAATGAGCAGTGAGGGAGGGGAGTGGCAGGGCTGAACCTGGCGGCATTGCTTTAAATAAATAAATAAAATTGTGTGCTGTTTTCTGGCTTGCAAAGCTCTGGAGCCCAGCTTGCAAACAGAGTGGCTGTGGGTGCATTTGTTTTGGTGCACCATGAGTCTGTCCTATGGGTATCAGTTCTTGTTCCAAGGCTTAAAGCTTGCTGCCCAGTGAGACCTGTCAAAAGTAGTTCAGCTTTCTGGTAGTCAATATTGAAACTTTTTTTTTGTAGTGGAGGGTGAGGGAAGGGAAGGCTTCTTTTTGGGGGAAGAAGAAAAGAAAAAGTTTATTCTTATTTTTCAAACATGCTCCTAAATTGCCTTTTGCTTCTGAAAATTAGTGTAGTTGGGTGAATTTTCAAATTGGCTTCTGATCCCTGTTCAGTTCTGTATATTCGGATTTGCAAGTAGCACATACGTACAGCTCTTCGCAATAGAATATCATGAGGGAAAAAGATTTTGAAGCATTGCCTCATATCTCTCTTCTCCATGTCCCACAGAGTTATACTTAAGTATCATATTGAGGTTTCCCTGTTAATCTGGGGCTACATATGCAAGCCATGCTCTGCCTGCTCCCACCAGCTGGCATGTGAAATCTGGAAATGAGATACAAATTATGGCATCGAACCATCAGTACATGACAAGGGATAGAGTTTCACCCAGGACTTGCATGACTTGGCAATGTCAAATTTCAGAATAAATCTGTTTTACAAAATGCTGTGTTACAGTAGGTGCTGCAGGGGGAATCTGCTCGCCCTCGTAGTGAGGAATAGTTGCTCAGTGCTCTGTGCAGGCTGCTCCTCCGCGGAGCCTGTGACACGGCTGCAACGCCCTCTCATCAGGTAGAGCCTCGGGCTTCCAGGGAATGTGTCAGCGCAGCCCTCGGATGAGCAATGCCAGAGCTTTCTTCTCTAGTGCTTAGCTCTCCTAAACTTCCAAGTGCTTAAGATGAGCTCCAGCTTTCTGTATTTTCAGGTAGTTTCATTTACCAGCACAAATCTCTCTGCTACAGAAATCTACAGATCTGTGGTGCTTCAGAAATATGACAGTGATTGCTTTCTCTCATCTTCACAGGAATTGATATTCAATGGCTGGAAACGGAGGTGCCAGGAGGCTGAGATGAATATGACTACTATCCTACAAGAGATTTTGATTAAAAGATCACAGCAGAAGAAGAGGACTTCTCCCTTAAACTACAAAGAGAGGCTTTTTGTACTTACAAAGTCCATGCTAACGTATTATGAAGGTCGAGCAGAGGTAGGAAATAAGAGATTTACGCGATGCTCTCGATGCTCTCTTTTATCCCTTCTTGCTTCCGTGTGCTATTACCTTTCTATGTGGCAGTATATCATATACCTGTCAGGAACGGGAGGCAATGAAACATGATTTGCCATTTCCCCTTTCTCTTATTCCCTTTTCTCATATATTATCTTATAATGCAGATTTCCATGGGTGCAGGTAACTTAGATATCTGATAGCCAGTGTAAACTTGCTGTGTTCCGGCRTTTGTATAGCCAGGAGGCCAGGAATGGAGATGAAGCAGCTTTTATCATCAGTACTGGTTTCTTTCTCTTCCTCTCTTTTATAGCTTTGTGCCTGAGCTTTTCTGGCTGAAGGGCCTTGGTGGAATTTTGCTGCTGATATACRTCAAGGTGTACTTAATCACTTTTAATAATTGATTCTTAGTTGGTTTTGGCATTGTTCTTTCTGGAGTTCTAACCTAGTGTGACCTTTCTTGGCCTTTCAAATATTATGCTAGAAAGACTTTGGCAGGAAGTGTCCTTCTAATTGGACCCCCTTTAGTGCTGCTGGAGGTTGTTGGGGGGTATCTCAGGTAGGGTCTTTCTGTCCTCATGGAAGTCTGTGGGAACTTGGGCATTTGGGAGTCACCTTCCAGCAGCAAACAGATAAATATATGTATACACACACACACACACACACACACACACACACACTGTTTAACGTGAATTTCATGGGAAGTCAAAACGGGCCTGCTGACTTTGGTAGAGCTAAAGCTTATGAGTGGTTTTCACAGGGCAGGAAGGGAAGGAGTTCACCCGCGCCACACAAAATGCAGTAGTGAGAATGCTAACTTGCAGATTGAGTGATCTCTGGCATCTGACTTTACAAGCATTAGAGGGGAAAAAAGTAAGGGAAACATTTTTCTTGGCCTTCGCTGCAGAGGCTGCTGGCGTTAGTGTTGCAAAAGGCAGWGACTTCCTCCTGCAGACACCCTGGCGCTGAGTGCAGGGACACAGTGTTAAGCGCGACCTTCGAGTTTGACCATGCACAGGCGTGGCTGCAGCCTTCCCAGCAAAGGGTGGGATGTCCCTGCAAAAGCTGGGGCCTCCCGAGCCAAACAGCAGGATCCTCCAGAGGCTGCTGCAGCTGAAAGCCATGAATGATCAAGGCTATCACAAGGTACAAAAAGATTAAAAAAATTTCTACAGTTACGGTTGATTTTGGCAGCACTTGCTGTAAAGGTCATTACTTTTACACCTGGAATGTAATTTGCTTTTTAATTAAGCAGGTGAAATACAAACAGCATTTGTTCGGAGCAGTGCATTGCAGATCAGTTTCTGCTCTCATTTGCATTAGAATGGACCATTTAATGCGGTGATTGAATGAAGGTCAAAGTGATTTTTTTCTTTGAACACACTAAGCCCATTAGTGTTCCTCCTTTCTATGTAAATTAAGTTATACCAGGACTCTGTAGTGTAAATTAGGAAAATCTTTAAACCAGCATTTTACATTTGAGCACCACGCTGGATTTGATCAAGATGACCTAGAGTACCCCACCATATCCTCAGGTTTTCCACTATATCCTCAGGTTTTCCACTCAGCCAAACCTGCTGAGTGGAGTTTATCACAGTGCTAAAGGGCATTAAAATGGCAGCAACCAGCTAGAAGAGATCTGTGCTCTGGAAAGCCAAATGGAAAACATTGGAGGGACTGCTCTTCAACCTGTTGTGCCGTGTGTCTTGGCTCTGGTGAGAGAGGGAGGTGCAGAGAAGCAGGGCTTGCCCAGGTGTTTCTGTGCCAGGGTGAAGCACACAGCAGAGCTTGTCCTTGGTGCCGCCTTGGGCATGAATTTGCTTCCCATGCTCAAAATCCACAGCCAGTCATCACAGCCGCCATCCTCTGCCTATAGCTTGGGCACTGCTGGGGATTAAGAATGAGATGTACGCTTTTACTGGCTTTGCCATTTGAATATCTACTTAAAGGGACACATACTGTGTGCCCTTGCATGTGCCTGCTTTCTCTTGAAAGGGGGCAGGGAGCCTTCTCAAACATCATCGCAAGCCTGTCTTGCGTTAGCTTAACAGGTTTTGCAAGTCTAGTCGGTGCCCTGTAGARGCTGCTGTCACCTTTCCCCTGCAGCTTGGTACCCCTTCAGCTAACATACCCTTTCAGGAGCCTGAGTGATGGGTCTGTCTGACTGAAGATTTAAACCATCARTTTTGTTTGTACTGAAGTGGAGGAGATGACTGACTGAATGCCCTCAGCTATGGAGCACGAACTTCAAACTTTCCAGCTTGAGAGCGGGACCATTGGGGTGAAACTTTACACTGCATGTGCACCAACCCAAAAATTTGCTGCTGGAAGACTTAGGTCCATCCATGCCCTGTCCTAGCCTTGCGGYGCTGCCTCCTCTTCCCCACCTGAGCTGCCTGGTACCTTTTGGACTCTACACTGGGCCGGTTAAACCTGCTAATCAGCAGAAAACTCTTTTTGTTTGCTTTGCTTTTCCACTCGGGACTAGCGTTCTGCTGGCCCAGCAAGGTGACTTGGCACCATTCAGGATCTGACGAGCCCCAGAGCTGGTGCCAGGGGGTGGAGGAGGATGGGAGGCCTCAAGCCAGGAACACCAGCCACTTGCTAGGCTGGCTCAGCTGTAATGTGTCACTCTACGAGCAGTGCCTCAAAACATCTTCATTTCCACTGCTCCTTGCACTTAAGAGTCATTTAAATATTAATCAGTGAGTCATTTATTAAAGGATATTTTATGAAAATAATGAGCTCTAATTTTTATAGGGAAGCGCTGTGAATATCTCATTTCAGCAATATTTGGGCTCTACATTAAAGAAAACAACTTACTGGTGACTAAGTTCCCTGTCACATAGTAGTAGTTGTTTCTTTGTGTCAGTGTGCAACTGAAACAATAAAATAGGACCATTTATCTTTTCTAAACCCTCAGTGGYAGTAAATCTTTAATGTAATTCTGGTGCCTGGGAATATTTGGTTATCTATTGTGGAAATTCRAACATGACTATGGTATATTGATTCACCACAAAAGATGCAATAGATAAAGAATAGATAAAGGCTGATTTAATTGCAGGGTTGATCATGTTGACAGTTTATATTGGTGAGATTGATCTGGGATTTTCAAACCAAGAGAATCCCACAGTCACATTTTGCTCACGTAACTGCGGGGCAACAGTCTGCCAAAGTGGTGAATTCTGTTCCTCTAGGCAAATATATCATTCCCAAAGGGGTCATTGGCTAAACTGAAGTTTTTTCACTTGCCTTTTTTTACTTGCCTTTTTGTTTGCTTTGATATGAACTTGTTTTAGAATTTGGCAGAAAAGTAACTTACAAAGAATTCAGAAGATCTGTGCTCACATGAATAATCATACCATCATATTTCAATAAGATTAAATTAAATCTTGTTAACCTGACTAGTCATTGTTCATTTAAAGAAAAAAAAGTGGGCAGCTCAACACTGTAAGTAGAGCAACAGATATGGATACTTGGTAAGTGTGGTGACAGAAGTTGGAACATCTATAACAAAACAAAGGCAGTCAACCACGGAAAATGTTTTTGTAGGTGCTTCTGAGTGTTCTGACCAGCTGAATGCTGTGTTTTGGGGGTCGGGAGGAGTTCTGCTGCTTTATTTGACCAGAAACTACATAGGATATTAAAAAAAAAATAAAAAGAGAAAAGACTTCTTTATGATATTATTATTCTTATGTATGACAGCATATCATATAGCTACTTGAGCAATAAACAATTATCTTATGAACATAACTGTTAGCAGCAGAGTGAAACCTGTTCATGACTTGTTAACCTTCAAGCAGCTTGGGTGCTCTATCACTTTTGCAAGGTRGTGCTAAATGCTTTTGGTGACTGCACTGCAATCATGAAAAGGGAAAAATACAACTTTTGCACGTAGAAACACTTTTGGAACATAGCTCATACTGAGAAGGTATGACTATAGAGTCAGGAAGGAGGCTGGATTTTAAGATTTATTTACATGTTTATATAAAAACATGTAAACTTGGGGAGGGAGAGTCCTGTTTGTCACCTATGTAAAGCTCTACTCTTACAAGTTAGTGCCATATGTGTAGAAGCCAGTATGACCTTTATACCTTAATTTCTTCAGGGTGTTACCTTTTTTTAGGTACAAAAATTGGGAGAAAGTGTAAATACTGGGAATAACACAATTCCATAAGGCGGTATTGGCAGCAAGAATTACAATTCATGGCCTTACGTTTCGTGAAGCTGTCAAAAATATTTTCTATTCCCTCTCCTTTATTTACATTAAATGTAAGATGAGGTGATGATCTGAATGTGCTTGGTTTCATTTGTAACATAGACAAAAATTAAAGTAAGAAATAACTGAATCAGCTTCCAAGTGCAGGCTGCTGTTTGTGACTACATAAAAATAAGGAAGTAAAATATCTTCCTGTTCTGAATGTTAAGGTGGACTAAAAACCCTTATGGTCAGTAAGACTTCAGATTTGTGTTCAGTSTTCTCAAGTTGTCACTGCAGACTTATCAGTTTTAAGTAGGTCTACCTAGATGATGGTGGCTACATCAATTTGGGGAATGAGAAGTAATAGGCAGATTGCTGTTCTGCCTACTCTTTGCAAGAAATGTGGAGGTGACTTGGGCATTGAGATGGAGGAAATAGGTTTAGGTAGTGAGGCTGAGAGCACCTAGCCAATAAAACCCCCGGAGCCAATATGCCTCCCCACGTTGTGGTCGTCTTSGTGAAGTGTTGATCAGCTTTGCTGAGTTTCCACCATTCCTGTATGATGTATTAGCTCTGTTGTAGTAGGGTTGACTGGTTTTCAAAAAGGTTGAAGACTGAGGCTCTTCTGGAAGAATGAATCTGCCTTGTTTGAGGTTGTCCAAATTAAATAGCTGTCATTATTACTTCAAGGTATTTTTGGTTCTGACGAATGAAGGAACTCTGCTTCACTGCTCTTTCACATGTTTGGGCCAAATTGGGCATTTTTCCACTGCCAGACCTT